CCAAAAACTTTAATTTTCAAAGAGTAAAGTGCCCTTTAGAAAGTTGTTCTAGTGAAAATAATAGCTGTTCCAGATTGCGTTAGCTATAATAAGTATATATTTGTAATATGGAATTGATAATAGAAAAACTATGGTCACAGCAATCAACTAGACATTTCGGCGGCCAAACCTATTTTTAGTTATAACTTCGTAATGCTGTATCCCATAATTTTGATTTTCTAGAACAATAACTAGAACAACCAGAAAAACCCAGAACAACAAAGAAAATTTGATTTTTCCAAAAATGGGGGGCTAGTCAAAAAACCTGTATTTTCAGTTTTCTCGGGGAGTTTTTATTTTTTCGATTTGTCACTTTGGAACAATGTAGAACAACTCTAGAACAATCTAGAACAACAATAAAAAATGGGGGGCTAACTTCCCGCACTCTACAAGACTTGCTAAATTTAATATAAATTTAAACACGTCGAATGCTTTATCAGAAAATATATTCAAGATCCGGAATTACAACAATATTTTTATCTTTTGGGTTCATAAAATTAGGCACGACATAAACAACTTTTTGTAATGTTCTTAAAAATAATTAACATGTTTCTTTTAACCGAAATAAGTTCTGATACCTAATATTCGTTATTATTATTAAATAAGAATTAAGAAAATAGTTTACAAAAAATAATTAAATTTTTTTTAATTAGATTTTAATTTGATTTGAATTAGGTTTTAGGGTATATTTAACCCTCATTTCCTTCGTCTATTAACAGTACAAAAAATATTATTATATAGTTTACTGGCCAATAAAGTTGAGTGTAATTAACTCAAAGAAAGTCGTTGGTACGTTCCTGACTTTCTAAACTATACGGAGTTCTACACTGAGGGAAATATATTCTTGAACGAAGATTATTACTCTTGGAACAAGCTTATCGTATTATCAGCGATAAATATTCTTGATTCTCAAGAAAACGAATTTTTAGTGAAAGTAAATCAATCATCTTGAAAAAGAGTATCTTAGTGTTTCGTCAACAATCCCTTTTTCGTATCGAGAATAAATTTCGTATGTCAAGAATAACGTATCTTTCTTTTTAGAAAAACTTATTCATGTTACAACAATCTTGTATAATTCTTTATTTGAGTATTATAAATTATTGACGCAAGAATGAATTTTTTGATACAAAGAATTGATATTCTTCGATGCTAAGAATATGAGATACTGCACTCGATAATATTTCTATTCTTAAAACAATAAAATATTTTTGTTTTAAGAGTATCGTATACTTGTTTCTAAGAAATACATTCAAGAATAAATTTTTCTTGAAACTCAAAAATAATTTCCCTCAGTGTAGGTCTTGTCTCAGGTAGAAACCGCACAGAAGCAGAGGTCTACAATTTATGGGGGTTGTAATTCCGGATCTTGGTGTGGACGACTATACCTAGAAAGGAAAGGAATAACAGTCGGTGGTTATAGTCTTCCACATAGGCATCGGTTGTTTGACAGTCATAAATAAAAGCTGGTTAGGCAAGGGCAGGGTCGATTTTTTTAAATTTTTATACCAAAATTTAATAAAAAAACCAAAGTTCATTTAGTATAACAACTAAAATTTAATTTTATAATTAAATTTTTTTGATTAGTAATTAAATACATTAATTATAATTAACGTAATATTAGAAATAAACACAACAAATAAGAGA